TTACTGACTGAACTTCAGTCGGTAAATCCAATGAAACTCGTTATTACTAGTATAGGCACTTAAGATGAATGAGTTGGTTGCACCAATGCAACCTTCGTGAATGCTCAGAACTAGTCTTTTAACGCGCATGCCCAGTTGGTCGTTTCTGACTGTTATAATATCGATGTATTGAGGATTAAAATATGAACGATGGAAAATCGGATTCGGAACTTCTGGAAGCATCGACATCGAAGGTTGTCGACCGTTTGCGTGATTACGAGGAACTTGGTCAAAGTGTGATCATGGGAAAACAAGCAATTGTTGAACTGGATGAACGACGTCAAAAATGTAGAGAAGCTGCACGACATCTTCGTAATAAAGCAAAAACACAGGTAGAAGACGTGCGTTCAGTTATGTGGCGTTGATTTTTTTAACGATTTTGGATCAAGAATTTTTCAAAGCGTCCGCGGGTGAAATTATTTTGTGAAATATTGTAAATGAAAAGGTGAGCGCCGAATTCATACAGCTGAAAGCTGATTTGAAAATCTGATCGTGAAATTTTGAGGGTGTTTACGGCCTTTATAGCAGAATCTCGAGAATAAGTTATCTCTTAAACCGCTTCGAATCGTATTCTTTTTGAAAATCTTCAACAATATCTGCTTCGTTAAACAAAGTCTTTAATAATATCTGCTTCGTTAAATACAATCATTTAGATTAATGTGTGTGCAGCAAGATTTTTGCACAAACGAAGAAATTTAAAAGATAGGATTTGAAAGTTGAAGACTGTAAAAATGGTAGCATAAGAGTGAGAGTTGAATTTTAAGGGCGAACAAAGTTGGGTTTGCTTGGGAAAAACGACGTTCATAAAGTTACCAACAAATCAGTCACTAAGTCTGATAGAAGAGGATATTCAAGTGATAAACTCAACAATTGATTCTGCTCGAGATGAGTTGAAGAAACGCGTTGATGAACTGAAAGAGATGGAAGGCAGTAAAGATCTTCAGAGTCTTGGATTCAAATTACGACCCATCTGCTGATAATTACG